ACTAGTCATCAGGAAAGCTTTGAAACAGTCCATTTTTTTGAGGCCATCTGCTCTACCTTCTCCCTTCTCCTTATCTGCACCTGAAACAAACAAATGAAAACTGTCATGTCTTGGTTCCTGGAAACATACCTCTCTCTGTGCATGTGGGGACAGCCTAACCCACTGTGCAGAGACAGCCTGATTTACAACCCTGTGCAAACCTTGAGTAACTTTGAAGGCAGGGTAAAAGGACAGGACCAGCAGAACCAGAGAACTTCCATGAGCAACCAAATCTCTAGGTCCCTTATCCTGGTTTCTCTCTTCTTGCCATTCAAAGTCTCCTACATTCTGCACCTCAACAGGTATTAACATTTAAATACCTAAAAGCACCTCACTCTGCACAACACTAACGTCCATCAGAGATGCAAAATATCCCCTTTTCCATTCCAAATCCAAACTCCTTTGCAGCCCAGGTTAAAATGCCTCATTCTGGACCTGCAGATCCTTATCCCTCCCACCCATGAATACATCCTCAAATGCTCAGAGCCCCACATACAAGTAGACCAAATCTATCAAGCATGATCTATTTCTTCACCAAAAGGGTTGTCAAGCATTGGAAGGGGTTGCCTAGGCAAGTGATTGAGTCACCATCCCTGGAAGGATTTAAAAGACGTGCAGATGTGGTGCCTGGGGACATGGTTTAGAGGTGGACTTGGCAGTGTTGGGTTTACAGTTGGACTCGATGTTAACTGTCTTTTCCAACCAAAACTATTCTGAATCTGTACAGCACCTGCCTGGTCCGCCTGTGCCATCTCGTGGTTGCTTGGCCATGCTACACAGAGAAGGACCAAAGCTCCAGAGAAAAAGAGGAGAGGTTACTCTTCCTTGCAAAGAACAAAGATTCGTGTATGATTCTGCAGGATCCTAAAAAAATAATAATAATTAAAAAAACTTGATATCCCACTCTGTAGACAGCTCTTAAATCAAAATTTAGCTGTTTAAGATAGGACAACTGAGGAGCTGAAAAGCACAAAGCAACTTCAGAGTCATCTGAGCACAGACAACGGCCCAGGCGACTGGCCAGGGAACGGAGACGCAGACACAGCTTTGAGTTTGGCAGGAGGACAGCCCTCCTCATTACTCCATCCTATCTGCTGCTGGCCCTGGGGGATGCCTGCCATCTCCTCCTTGAAGCTCCCATCCATCCAGGGGGATTTGTTCTGGCTGTCCTGGCTGCTTGCCCTGGCTCATACCCCTGCTCTCCTCCAGCACTGGCACTGAGGGCACAAGCAGGACAAGCAGACACCACCAGCTCCTTTCCTGCTTTGTGACAGCCACTTGGTTTCCTCTTCCACACCCAGATAATTTGTCCTATAAAACAGTAACATCATTTGAAAAATGGTAACATCATTTTAGAAAAAGGCACAGGACCTTTGGGTAAACATCACTGCTATCTGTTGGGGTTCTCCACATCCCAGAAGTGGCAGCCCCTTCCTCTGGGTCCTTGTTGAAACTCAGCTGCCACCAGTGCCCTTCTCTCTCTTCCACGATGTTAGATGCCAATGAGTGTGAATCCAACCAGGGAAGATCTTATGTACCCTCAGTGACCTGAACTGGCCAGGGAAACCTGAGAGCAGCAGTGAGGGACCACCGATCCCACCAGAGGCAGGCAATGCCCACACCAAGACATGATGACAGGAGATCTTCCCTGTTAACATCCACAGCTAAATGCAGGAGGAAAGCAAATGATTTTAGTGAAGCCAGAGCAACCCAACTTCCCAACCTGAAGAGTCTGTGAGCTGCTGCTGCTCATACTGTGGACACACTGTGCTCACAACCAGCTGGCATCTCTCACTTGTGTTTGCTCTGCTGTAGCATGGAGAGCTGCACATGGGCTGGAGCCAGGGGAACCCAGCCACCTTCTCCTTCTATAAAGGACAAGAAAGGGCCTGCAGGAGCTGGAGCTACCTTTTGACAAGAAGAGGCAGCCTTTTTCAAATCCAGTTGAAGCTAACAGCAGAGGGAATTACCTGAACAGCAGGAGCAAGTTCAGTCCCTGGTGGGGCTACAACTCATGCCTGCCAGCTCCTGCCCTTGCATCCAAAGCCCCAGACCGTTGTGCAGCCAAGGGAAGACCTGCCAAAGAAGAGTCCATGATCCAAAAGTCTCCAAAGAGAAGTATTCACTCTAGACCACTAAGGGACCATTGGTAATGGCAGCTTCTGAAAGGTTCCCACCACAGTTCTGCTTCCACCTGCTGACAGGGAAAGCAGGAGACTGCTCAGTCCTGCAAGGAAAGAAGGGAGATGATCCTTGAATTAACCAGCCTGTGGGACAACCAGCATATCCCATGCAATGCTTCAAGCCAATAAACCAAACCAGACCACAGCAGAGCTGGAAGAGACCTCAGCCTTGCTCAGCAAGAACCACACGGACCTTGACAAGAAGTACCTGTGATAAAACAATCAAAACACTGTCACTCAGTCCCCTGCTGAAGTCAAGGGGCAGAGTGATGAGAAAAGCATGAAAAACCCAGTCCCTCACAGCAGCAAGGAAGCACAGAGCACAATGCCAACCACACTTGATTTCTCTCTTGTCTACCAAGCACCCACATCCCAACCAACCCTACCCCAGAAGAGCAACCAGACCTTTGAAGAGGTTAATAACAAATGTTTATTTTCCTTTATTAAAGAGCAGGGTGCAACCATCCCACTGGTAACGGAGTGACTTCATATTCATTTACAAATTCTTCTCTCTGCTTTGTTTTAAATGTAAGACAACCTCATACAATGCATTTCTCTAATTCCTTTCATCTCAAAAGTGCTTTACAAAGTGACACTGGGGGGGGGAAAAACCCCACAAACCAAAACATCTCCTGCGTAAAGAGATCATCTCATTCCCAGTGCTGCAACGCAGCCACGTCTGTTGTGCAATGTAACAGCTAATGGCACAGGGTGACCTGTAGAGATCAAAATGTCAGGGGAAACAGATAGAAGGAGAAATTGTCAGGGAGAGAATTTACCTGAGCTGAAATCTGCAGCTGGGAAGAGACATTTCTATTTTCTCCTCTAGAAAAGCTGAAGTCAAATTGCCACAAGTCTGCAGACACCACCAGGAGAGATGCAGGTTTATCACTAGATCAAGACCCAGCCAGACTCTCACCCAAAGATGTATTTTCCAGGTTTTCACTCCACATTTGAAACATATTCCTTTGGCAAAGAGTAGTAGACGTACCACTCGCCTAGCTAGGGTGAGCAGCATGGACTGGGGCACTTGGCTGTGGGAAGCAAAAGCAGAACTGGGGTGCTGACAACTCAGTCAGCCCTTTCTGAGCTGAAGGAGGTGGATTCAAAGCTCCTATGGATTGTCAGGAATGTGTTCTCCCAGCTCTGGGGATGACGACTCAAGTTGCACATCGCTACTAAACCTTGGCAAACAAGACCATGTGCCAGTATAGCTGTAAGGCAAGGAGTCCCCTGAGGAGCAACTCAGCAGCGTGCTGTGAGTGTGCTCAGTGACAGGAAAGCTTGTGCTCACAGGGGTCTTCTACAGGAAGGTTTTCTCAGATCTGCCCTGAAATTGCTCTTAAATTAGGTTTCAAACCAAAACTTTTGCCTTACTTGTCTATTCCTCCCTCCCCTGGACCTAAACCACAGCAGCTGTTAGTTTTCTTCCACTGCAGACACAAAATTCCTACTGTAGCATCTTCCAGAGAAGATGAAACTTAATGGAGCTGAAGATGGTGATCCAGTTTCAAGCACCAACTTGCTAAGATGGGAGTTATGATGATGGCAGAGGGACAGGGTAACATGCCAGTCAAGAGCAACAGAAATGCCACGTGAGATGAAACCTCCAGGGTGGGTGGTGGCTGAGCTGATTCTGCAGTCACTGAAAAAAAGGCTAAATTGGCTACAAAACACTGTCATGGCTTTAACACAGCTCTGTGCAGACAAACCTGGGCCTGAGCTCAAGCTGTAGGGCACCTCTGCTTCACAAAAGCTTTAGTGACCCATCCCAGCACATTTTGAGGCATAGAGGAACCACAGCCACATCCCTCAAGTGCTTCAAATCTCCTCATTGGGGATGGCAGCCCAGCAGAAGCAGAGTTTCCCAGTGGATGCACATCTCTACATCTGATGCAATACTGGGGAGGAAATCTTGGGGCTTCAAGACTGTGTCCAGCCTGGGCACATTCCTTCTGGAGACATAAAGAACCCAGCCTGGGATGACAGTTTCTATCTAAAGAGTGGGGCCAGTACTGCCCAAAGCTACTCTGAGAGCAGAAACAGCTCAAACACATCTCTCTGGGGGTGAGGTTTGTATCTAAGAGCACCATGGGAGACTTCTGCACCAAGGATTATCACAAGGATTATCACCCATCAAGGTCCACAACTGCCTGTGACAAAAGCAGCAGATTCTCTAGACCAGGAAAAAACATCCTGCACTGATGGCAGCCAAGCTGTGGTCAGCTGCAAGTTACACAATTTCCCTGCTGGCTTTCTTCTGCTGAAGGACCCAGGTGCACAGCTCCGGCCTCTGCTCCAGCTGCTTCCCCAGCCTGGATTACTCAGTGCCAAATCTCAAGCACAAACACAAATCCCTCTTTGTGATTCAGTTGGCAGAAAGCTTCTCTTGCAGGCTCCTTTAAAAAGAGCAAGGAAGTATTTGGAAACAGGCTGTTCATGGCTCTCCATAAGATTATTGCGTGCTGCTGGCATTTCCAGGGCCATCAAGGGAGTAAGTGGTCAGCAGGACCTAGGTTATGGCTGGGGACAGCACCCTCCACCCCAAAGAGTGGAACAGATGGACAGACAGCCAGCATCTGTCCTGAAAGATTTGCTTACAAAGAAGGTCCAGGACTCCTGCCTTGCTCAGGGCTGGCCTCTGACTATGCCAAAGCAGACTGCATATAAAAACAAAAGTTTAAAAAAAGAAAAGGTTATACACTGCATATAGGAGACTCCATAGAGGACAGTCTATAGATTGGCCACCCCAGAGCAGCCAGGGCCAGCCCAGCTCTGAGGGGGTGGTTTGACAGCTGCATGCCAGTCACAGTTGGAGAACTGGGACAGCTGAAGGTAGAACTTGTGCTTCTTGCTCCTTGATCAGCTTCAGGCAGAGGGAAGGTGGGGAGGGAGTAAGGCCCACTGCAGAAGGCACTGCATTCATCTGTCTGGCAGACTGTGTTTGACAAGCTGTTCATACAGAAGCAGTTTCCTTCCATGCTCAGGCCTCTGCTTACATCTCACTGGGATAAAAACCAAGTTTGGCCAGAGACATCTCCCTCCGGAGCCGCATGACCTCCCAGTACATCAGCTCCACTGCAAAGCAAAATGGGTGTGGGGGAAGAGAAGGAAAAACAACACAAAACACCAAAAATCAGTAAGCAAGGCACAAAGGCACAACTGGACACCAACCCATGTTAGGCTGAGCTCTAAGCTCAGCCCAGCCAGGCTCAACTCCAAAGTGAGGTCCGGCAGGACAGGCCCATCAGGTCACCCCAGGGTAAAGCTCCCAACAAGCTTATGAGGAAGAAATAGGTGCACTTATTCCTCCCATTCATGCCTTTCTTTTGTCATTTAACTCAAATAAAGAGGGAGTTCAGGGTTCCCCAAGCTGACCCCACTCCTGTCACGCTGAACAGGACCTCTTAATCCCTCCCAATGGCCCACAGAAGGCATCCCCAGCACAACCAGCTTCTATGCCCTCTTACCATCCTGCCTCACCAAGCCTTGCTGGATATAGCGAATGTATGTGAAGAAGTTGCACACCGCTGTGATCTGAGGGAGAGAGGGGAAAAAAAAGAAGAAAAAAGAAAAGGAGTCAGCTACAGAACTGCTCTGCATGTCAAGAGGCTTGAAAACCACCCAGCAGGAGAGCTCTTAGTGTTCAGCACCTGAGAAATAGTACCACACAGCACCAGATGGAAAGAGATAGGAAGAAAGCTGGTTAAAATAAATAAATAAATAAAAAATTAAAACCTCTGGGCATCTGCAATCCCATCCCAGGATATCACCCTAACCATGGGACACACTGTGAAAGAACACACTTCCCTCACTCCAAGAAGGACATGGAGGTGCTGGAGCGTGTCCAGAGAAGGGCAACGGAGCTGGGGAAGGGTCTGGAGCACAAGTGTGCTGAGTTCCCTTGTGGCTGAGGGAACTGGGGGTGTTGAGCCTGGAGAAAAGGAGGCTGAGGGGAGACCTTGTGGCTCTGTGCAAGTCCCTTGGAGGAGGGTGGAGAGAGGTGGGGGTGGGTCTGTTCAACCAAGGCCCAAGGGACAGGACAAGAGGAAATGGGCTCCAGTTGTGGCCAGGGCAGTTGAGATGGGATGTGAGGAAGAATTTCTTTGCTGCAAGGGTTCTGAGGCATTGGAAGGGGTTGCCCAGGGCAGTGGTGGAGTCCCCATCCCTGGAGGGATTGAAGAGTCGTGTAGACACAGTGCTGAGGGACATGGGTTAGTCATAGGGGACTGGTCAGTGTTGGGTTCATGGTTGGACTCAATGAGCTTAAAGGTCTTTTCCAATCCAGGCCATTCTGGGATGCTGTGAACTCCAATCTACTGCAGATTTGAGACATAAGTAATCACTACTTAATGTGGCAGCAAAATCCATGGTTTTCCTTCGAAGAGCGCTGTTCTCCAACTAAATGAAAATGGTTGGAGTTAAAAGGTGTGTGCAGGGGGGTGAGGTTGTTCATGACATACCTTGGTGCAAGTGACAAAAATTAGTCAACTTAAGTCCATGCACAAAACCAACTTTTTGTTTCAGAAATAGTCAGAAATATTGCAGGATCAGCTCTTCTGATATGCAACTCAGGAAAGAATAAACTTTTCAAATGCTCCATTGAATCAGAGCCCCAGCAGCAACATGAACAAATCATTCACCTTCTCCCTTCCCTCCACAGAAAGGACAGCTTGTTCTCATAACCATTTGAGTCACTGATCTGTGCTGGAACAGTAACAAGAACCAGCATTTAAAGAGCAGAAAATTACTGTGTTTTACAAAAGAGAATTAAAAAATAATAATAAAGCAAAACAATCAAAGCCCTGTACTGAATCAAACCATGGAAAGTAAACACACTGAAGACAGGTTGCCTGAAGGAACACAGCCAGAGAACCAGAGCGTGAGGCAGGGCTGGAGACCTGCACCTTGGTCATTGACCAAGAGCCACCACAACTTCAGAGACAAACTCAAGCCCCACAGGTCTCTGTCAGTTTGAGGGTTAACCCAAAAGCTCCTCCATCTCAGGGCTTGGAATAATTTTGAAGGGTTGAGGCACCCTGGCAAGGTGGAATACTCACCCTGGCCCTGCAGGATGGTGAAATGTAGTAGTAATTCCCAGAATCCCCCAGCATGATGCGGTGCTTGCAGATCCTGGGAAGGCCACTCAGAGCACATTTCCTGCAGACAAAGAAATAAACACTTCAACCTTCAGCAATCCAGTAGCACAGCAATTCAAGAACCTCAAGACTACCCCCAAGAGATGAAAGCAAGAGCTCAGAAGTTAAATATTGTGTCAGTTCTGCGTGAAGAAGAAAAAACCTTGGCTGATATGAACCTTTTGATTCCATAAATGGCAAGTTTAGGAGACCTTAGGCTAAATATCTGGAACCATGAATTATTCCATCCCCATGCAAACCAAGGCTGTACCCTTTCCCTGGCAGACAGCCCAAGATAAAACCACAGATTTTATTAAAGAGGTGACGCTGGAGCAGAGTCTAACAAGTGTCATCTGGTCTCTGCACATCTCCTCCATGTTCCAGGCAAGGCTTTTGCCACTGGAGTTCTGCTCAGGTGCATCAGCTTTCCTGATGGGATGTAAACATGCTGGTTGGGGACCAAACCCGGTCTCAAAACAGGTAAATCCAGCATTTGAGCAGAATTTGCTCCAATCAAGCCACACTGCAGCCTTTATGCTAAGCTCCTCTTAATTAATTTGGGCTTGATTAGAAGCTACTCTAGTTGAAGTCACACAGAGAGACTTTGTACTGACTTCAGGGGGCTGTGGATAAGGCTTGCAGCTCCTAAGAAGAAGCCAATCCCTTCTTGTGCAGACAGGGAAGAAGAGCTTGGCTTCACAACTGTAAGGAGCTTTCAGACCAAGTGAGGAAAATAGACTTTTCAAGACAGCTCAGCTCTGAGAGAGACCACCAAAAGACATCATCAGCAAGGGTGCAGTGTGCTTCTACTGTCCTGCCATTTCCTTCTGTTACTTGCAAGGTAAATGGTTCCAGGCACCAGCCAGTTGCCCTCCCTTCATCACCGCTTGAAGCAGTAAAGCAGAATTTTCTGCTCCACAGCCATCACCATGTTCCCCCAAGACTTGATGCAAGCATGGTGAGAAGAGGAACATCACTCCCCAGTTACAAAAAATTGCTGTGTGGGCCATGGAAGATGATAACACACAGGAGCAGATGTTTCAGAGACCTTCTGAGTGTGTTTCTGTGCTTACTTTCCACTGCTATCAAGGCAAATATTAGCCAAGAGTGGAAGCACGGGCTGTAAGTGCTCAGACACAATGAGAAGGAATCATTACTCAAATAGTAACACAACTTACAGGGATCAAATCCTCAGAAGGTGCAGGTTTATCTTTGTAAACGAGATACCTTGAAGAGGTCTGAAATTTGAGCATTGTAGTGTGCTGGGAAGAGAGACTTCTGTTGGTTGCTCTTGGCTTGGTTGAAACTGCTTGGTAGAAGTAACCTAAACCACAGCACTTGGACACCTGCCCTCCAACACTCTACACACCCCAGGGCACTTTGCCAGACATGCTATCATGAAAGCCAGTTGCCCACAGCACCTCCTGGCCAGCATTTTGCTCTGGTGCTCTACAGGCAATGTCACATAGTGGCCAGCTCAGTCCCTGCCTGTCCAGGCTCCTCAAACTGCTGGCACTGAGGTCTGTGCAGTAGGGTACAGACAAATAGGTCTGGTAGGTCCCAGCTTGGAGAGGGACTCCAGCTTTCTCCTTTCTGGTCCACAGCATGTTCAAAGTTGCCATAAAAATCAGTGTTTTGCAACTGGGAAACAAAAGGGAAACAAATTCCTTTTGGGTCCTTTATTACCAATAGTAAGATTCCTTACCATCCTGTCTGGGTGGAAATTAAACAGGGTTAAGAAGTTAGCCTAGTTCAGCTCTAGCCTCCAAGCTGCTAAACTGCACTAAGTTAGTAACTTGTTAATGAATTAGAGATCTTTGATCACTGACTAAAAACAATAAATATTTGACTTACGTTACAATTTGTGACCGGAACCCACTGTGAAGACACAAAAAAATATAAAAAATAAAAAATTCTAAAGGAAACTGATAAGGATAAACACAGGATGGGTTGTTTTTGGAACAAGCCTGGAACAATTGGCCTAGAGATGACTGAAAGTGCAGAAGAGTGGTAGAAAATCTGCATGTGAGCAGCATTTACTGTTAGAGGAACACCTTCACTTAGAAGGTACTCTGCTTGAAGGTAAGAGAGGGAAGAATAAAGAGAGAGAGAGCCCTGATTGAACTTAAATTCAACACCTGAATAAAGTCTCCTAACTTCATCTGGAATACTGTGTCACTCCTGCTAGTGCTGTTTTTGGAAGCAATCTCAAGCTGTCTGTCACATCAGATACAGTCACACAAGCTCTGGAGCAGCCACAGCCCCAATTCTGATGGCAAGGTGACAACATCAGGTGGGGAAGATATGCAGCAAGAGGAGATCTCTTCTACCCTAGTCTCAAACCCACCTGGTGCACCAGCAAGGTCAGGAGCACAAGGTGAGCTCAAACCTCACAAGATGCAAGAACATGAGATAATGCAGCTCTGACTTAATCCTTTCACCCTAGGTTATGTACAAACACATCTTCAGAGAACATTAAACACATTTCTACCTTAAAGAAAAAAAAAAACAAACCAAAACAACGCAAAAAAACCAAACTTCTCCCAAGCCAAGGGCACTAACACATCACTACGTTACCCCCCAAAACAGTCAACTCCAGTACATCAGCCGAGCTGAGATAATTCTCCTTCTCAGGTCAAGAGTTGAGCTGAACTCCCACTGGTCACAGGCTACGAGAACACCCAGCTGAGCCCTTTGAACTCTTCAACTCAACTGACTGAGCAAGGCCTGGCCAAACTCCACTAGATAGTACAAAACGGCCAGTAGCAAGGGGAGGACAAGAGAATATAAGTGCAGTTCCTTACTTCGGCCCACCACACTCTTCAGCTGACATCTTCACTGCAGGCAGTGTCTGGGAAGCCACCGGCTCAATGGTGAGTGTGTTCTGCTCCACAGCCACCCGCACCAGCTCCGACAGCTGCAGCAAAGAGAATCAAGTGCAAAGGTCACCTCCATAAAGATGAAACTTTGGTGCTGCCAGACTGCACAGTTTTTGTCCTTCTTTTCCAGCACCTACCTCCTGCTTAGTGAAATCCAGACAAGGTCCTACATCTTCTCGATAAATTCTGTCCAGGAAAGAGCAGGATTTATCTAAAGTTGGAGATTCCTTCCACGCCTGGAACTCAGCAAATAAAATGGAGTCGACCTGCAGCAAGTGTCCAAGTGGAGCGGAAAAAGAGAGATATAATAGCAGAAGGTATTTGTTACTACGCAGGTAACCCAACTACAAAACATCTGCTTTGGCATCTAGAAAGGCTCAGACACCACAGAAGTGTCTGAGGAAAGCTAGCTTGCTCCAAGGATCTTTCATCTCCCACCCATCAGCAGTTCTGTGCCAGACTAACACAGCCATACTGGGCTTAACTCTGCCAGAAACCTGCAGGCACCTCTCTGTCCCACCTTCCTCCAGGACAGGGCAGCATCTCTGCTACAGGAAAGCCACCACACAACCACTGAACAGACCAAGAGCCCACTCAGCCCATGGCAGGAATGATGAGAGAAGGTGACTGGCAAAGCACAGTGGCAGTGGCACTGAGGACACAGGAGGCAGAACCCTTCTGTAAGGGAAGAATTGCTACAGAAAAGGATGAATTGGAAAAAAACCTCTTAATAATTAACAGTCAGCAGCAGGACTACATTCAGCGAGCCCAAGTATGAGCTCACAGGGTATGCCAGCCCTTTAAAGACAACTCCAAGCCCAGAAGTCTGGTGTTTGGGGAGTCACAGAAGTAGTGGGAACACTGGACAGCCACACAGGCTGGCAGAGGTGAGCTGAGTGTAGGAAAGGAGGTGTCTCAAAGGGAACTCAAAGAGGAGGAACAGCTTTCCCCGTTCTAATGTCTGCTCATTGCCTTCTGCAGGCAGGTCCACAAGCATTAGCAGTG